TGTGTGTGTGTGTGTGTGAAAGAACGAAGCTTTTTAACAAGATTACAAAGAAGTTCTAGTAACTTAGTGAAATGGTTTTAAAAAAACCCAAACAAAACAGGAGCCAAACTTAAAACAAACCGACACAAGAGAGACGCACACAGTAAGAAATAAGGGTCGGTTGTTACATTGTTTGTAATTAGTCCCCACAAGAAAGCCTTGTCCCGGAGACTACCAACTCCATTCTTGACCCATGACACGGAAGGACTTTTTAAAAAAATGTAGGTTTTTTTTTTACGCCCTCATTAAAACAATTTAATTCATTTAGGAGGCAGGCTTCCGATCTTGTGTGTCAGAGGCATCCCGGTGTGAGGGGAGAGGGGGATACAACATCCAAACTGAGAGATCGAGATACTTGATAAATTTATATTTATTCTCCCCCGCTAGTGTGTGTGTGTGTGTGTGTGTGTGTGTGTGTGTGTGTGTGTGTGTGTGTTTGTGTGTGTGTGTCTGTTGTTTTTTAAAACTACATAATGATTAATAACACTTTCCAAGAGCAGAAAGACTGAGATACTTGATTAAAATTTCTTCCCTACTTGTGTGTTTTTTTTCCTTCTACATAATGATTAATAATACTTTCCAAAACGTGTACTTGTCTAAGACAACCAATTTTCTGCTTGACAATGGATGGCCATCATGGACAATCTCAACAGTATTTTTTTAGGTGGTAAATGTTTTTACGGCGCTTAAAACTGCATAAAGTCATTATATGAGCGCATGGGACACATAAAACATTTTCAGTTTAGTAGGAAATTTTGAATTTTGCCCGGGGGGCAGCCAAAGCCTACTCTTTCTGCCCCCATCCTCTCACATCATTTGTCCCCTCCTCTGGGCTTCTGACTCTTTCTGCAACCTTTCTACTGCTACTCCCGTATCTGCTTCTTACTGTTGTCTTTCAGCCAGATCTAACATCTACTAGCCTTCTCGGATAAGGGCTAAAAATCTCGAGGTCCCATGTGATAGTTGCGTCCAAAATCAACAAGAGTAGGCTTCGGCTGCCACCCGGGCAAAATTCAAAATTTCTTACCAACTGAAAAATGCTTATTGTGTCCAGCGCGCTCATAATATGACCCTGTGCAGTTACGAGCGCTGTAAAACACTTACCCAAAAAAAAAAAAAAAGTTAAATAAAACAAGAAAAGAAAGAAAAAAAAGAATAAAGACATTATGCTGCCTATTTACCTCATGAGGACAGTGCTTGCTTTATATAAAAGCCGTGCACAACATAACAATTATTCCAGTCTTTGTGAGGACAGACAACTGTTGATAAAAAAAGAGAAACATTTGAAAGGTCAACTTGTTTTTAAAGGTTATTTAACCTCCATAAGCTTGCTCGGCTTCACAAAATAATGTAACAGCTCGGCAAGCTTATTTTGTGTTCTGTGTACATAATACGTGTGTCCTCCTTGTGTGTGTGTGTGTGTGTGTGTGTGTGTGTGTGTGTGTGTGTGTGTGTGTGTGTGTGTGTGTGTGTGTGT